TGCCCTTTTCAGGGTCTCGGTTTGGGCGAGAGCGTCTGCTTACACTGATTCCGAGTTGAAGGTGATAAGGATGCCCACCTTCCTCTTCTTAGATTTAGACATCAGCCACGACGCTCCGATTGGTTTGGGTAGGGATGGCGTCGTAAGGCTTCTCAGGAGGGCATCGGTTGCCTGAACCGGAGAATTGAACTAGGAGAAGCTACCCCAGATTATAATCCGTTTGGCGCTAATGGCCGCTGATTCTAATTTAGCTGTAGTGTCGAATATCTGTTGTTTCGATAGCGCGATCGCCTGTCCTGCGGCAGCACATGCTGAGATGTTATCCTTAAATAACGCTGTCAGGTGACTTAAATCGTTATCTAGTGCTGAGACTTTTCCACGCAGTTCGTCTATAATCGAACCTTGCAGGTCAAGGGCGACTAGAGCCGCATTTAGCGCTATTTGAGTGCTAGCCCAGTCGCTGGTTTCAGCCACCTCATGTGGTATGGGGATTTCCCGCATGGGTAAGGTGTCATCGTCGGAGGATTCAGAGAGCTCAGGATACATAGTTCAAGAGTAGTGGTAATAGTAAAATATAAATCGCAACGGAATAATATGGAAGAGCGTTAGTTTAGGGTGGCCACAATTAAAGATATAAGCAAAACTGTACAGAAAAACACATAAAACGTAAAAATGCGAGCTTATCGATCCACGACGGATTTTCAACCGCGCGCGGTCAAGGACCTTCAGGTCAGGTTGCACAGTGAAAAGATTTTTGGCTAGTAGTTTTACCTGTTTCTTGATCAATAAGGTAAAGTCTGATGTTCGGAAATTTCTGTTTTGAATTCCTTCATTCTTGTAATCTGAAAGTGTAAGCAAAAAGGAGGTTAGTGGGTTACTTCTTGTCGGTCTTGAAGTCTTGAAGTATTTCACGGGTTCGAGGCTAAGCTTAATGCTCCTGCATCTTGGTTTGCTGTTTTTTGATTGATAGGCAGTGCCAGTTGACGATAATTTGAGAGCACCGCTCGTTACTGAGGGTATTGAGATGGGGATACGGGAAGGAAGAATCTGGAAGGGAAGAGGGGAGGGGAAGAGTGCAGTATCTGCTTGCAGTGCACAATTATGCGCATCTGGATGATGAACACATTTTTTCATGGAGATAGGTAAGATTGATGTGGTGCAAACCATGCACAGATACACAACAACAACAACAAAAATTGTGACTCAATTCAGTTCGGATAAATGCATTTAGAACGATAACGCGGGGGTAGAGAGATAGTTGGACAGATCGAGAGCGATCAGATAATGGTATTTAATGTTAGTGTGTTTAAGGCCAAGGAAAATATCGAGTCTGTGTTTGAACATGCTCTTTAAAGGCGCATCAACAACCTCCTGTGGGAGGCTGTTCCATAATGGAATGATTCGATGGGTAAAGAACCAGTGACGAACTCGTGTGCGGGGCCGAGGCCTAAACATCTTTTTGCTGTGTCCACGAAGAGTATCTAAGTTGCATGGGGTGAAAAACAGATTAGCTGTGTCTGTGGCAAATAAATGGTGAAGAAGACAAATGTCCGCTCTAATGCGGCGGGTTTCTAAGGGTAGAGGTTCAGTATAGTGAGACGGATGGGGTATGGAACATGGAAAAGACCAGGGACTAGTTTTCTGGCTGCTCGCTGAACTCGTTCGACGGATTTACGATCACCCACAAGCCCAGAGCACGCGATTTGGGCTCCGTATTCTAATAGTGGTCTTACATAAGTGCCATATAAAAGTTGAAAGTCTTCTCTATCAAAGCGAAGGAAAGAGCGCTTGATAAAGTTGAGTACTTCAAAGGCCTTTTTTCGGGCTTTTTGGTGGTGGCAAGAAAAAGATAGAGAGTTGGATAACCAAAAGCCATAGATCCTATGCTGGTTTACAGTCTGAAGTCGGGACGTATTGCACACATTAAAGGTGTGCGCGCAGCTCCTACCAAAGGACATGGTTACACATTTGTCATCATTTATCGATAGGCTCCAGTCTGATGACCACGCTTCGGTGACATCCATGGCTGCCTGCACTGCTAATGTGTCACTCTCCCAGATGGTGACATCATCAGTATAGATAGGAATGTGGACAGGAATTTTGTCCGAGAGATCGTTTATGTAGAGAACGAAAAGGAGTGGACCTAGCAAGGATCCCCGGGGAACTCCTATTTTCATCGGGGATGAGTTGGAGAGAGAGG